AAAATGAGGACCCGGATTGTTGTTGGGGGCAATGTGCTGACTCTGTGAACCGCTTAGAGAGGGCTGAAAGCCCTATGAAGCGGTATAATTCTAACTGCTATTGCTATTGCTATCTCCACATATCAGCTTTGCAAGCTTCCTAATCACGGGTCTATCAATAATTCAGGGCAATACTCCGAAGGGCGGGCTCTTACCCTGCACTTTGGTGCTGTCAGCAAATAATGTGCCGTACAGAGATTCTCCATTTCAAATCCCAGGGCAGCAGGCCAAGTCTAGGCTAGTATTGTATTTTCAATTAGCTTCTGAGTGAATGCTTGGCATCTGCAGAAGGGAATCTGTACACAATTAGCTTCTTGTTCCTTTCGGCTTGGTGCTGAGTGGATCATCTGGAGAACTGGAGGAGGCAGAACAGCATCTCTGAGTAGAGACGTTGCTGTGGATGTAGAAGGAAGAAGGGGATTTCGCAGCTCAGGCAGTTTCTGCTCTCTCTACCGCAGAAATTGTTGCCATTGTTACGGGAGCGCTGGGCTTCAAGGCGTTTGCCAGGAGATAAGAAGGGAAGGAACTTTCCTGTCTCTCCTTTCAGCAGGCCAGATCTTCCCCACCCCCTACTTCTGCTATTCCTAATACTGCCATGGAACCAAACAGTCCTAAAAAGATACAATTCGCCGTGCCATTATTTCAAAGTCAAATAGATTCTGAAGCAGCTGAACAGGTAAGCTGGGTTTATCTTCACTGCCTATGATAAAGTTTGTTAAGGGGAGCCTGTTTCCAAATCTGGAAACTGGAATGCAATGGTGGAGAAATTCTGGGATTTCGTAAGAACTCTCTTATCTTTGAAAGGGAGAAGGAAAGAAAGAGAGAAAGAAGAGAAGGGAGGATGTTTGTTTTTAGGATACCCTAGGTGAGTGTTTTTTTTTCTGAGCAAACTCTTTCTCTCTAAAAAGAGAAGCATTCCAATAGTGAGTTTGGGACTTTTGTATATAAAAATTGTTGATGGTATTTAATGCTAGCGGGTTGATTGATAGCTAAGAAGATAGTTCAGTTAAAAGGCTATAAATGACAGGTGGATGAAAGGATCTCCTGCATCTTCAAATGGAGAAAGCACGTCAAGAAAAGGGTATTATTTCTAGATATTCAATATTTCCAAGGTGATTTCTGAGATATCACATTAGTAGCCTAAATTTATATTATTATAATTTCAAAAACAATACAATAGTATCCACATCATACAACAAACATTGATACAGGTTGAAAGCATCTTCTCTTTAGCTGTTTGAAATGGTATGTTCCCCTCACCGACGGTGCACGGTTATACCTGCAAATCAGGATCTTTCTCAGAATTGCTTCTCAAACTTACAGTTCAGCTTTTGATACACAGAATGGACAGACTTATGGTAATTGCAGTTAGGCACCTTTGAGTCTCCTGAGTCCCACTGAGCTGAATTAAATGTATATCTGAGAAGGTACATGTTAATGTTCTAGCTGAGATGACAACTATGAAAAGAACTGTCACTAGAATGAGGGGTCATAGGTAACAGCCCTATGAGCAGAACAAGATATTCTTAGGCAGAAAACATTTTAGATGCTATTCTCCTACTCAAGAAAAACTTCACATCTCACCTCTCTCCTATAAATAAATATATTTTCTGAGTAAAAAAAAATGCATGGCTTTCAATTTCTTTAGTCATCTTTCTGTATGTAGGAATAGAAATTCCTAGAATTACGTTCATATGCTATTTCTTTGACTTAGTACACTGTAAAGCTACAAGGGGTTATAACTCTCCAAATAATCAGCCAGTGAGAGGGTTTTTTTTAGGAATGTTGGAGCTGAAGTTATGTTAAACCTGTGGGTACTAACTTGAGAAAGGCTGTATTTTCTCCCATTTAACGTTTTGTGGCATGAGACATCCATATCATTATATGGTTCCCATATAATGGATGATTCTTAGCCAACAGCATAGATGTGAAAGATCAAAGTACTGGATTTTGTGCAAATATACTGTAACATTATGCTTCTTGGCTATTAAGAGAACATGAGGATGACTTTCAAAGCAGCCAGTGATTTACAATAGATTAATGCAACTGTGATTTCTTTTTCCTGCTTTCAACCGTTGATGTCTGTAGTCTAAACCAAATGGCTTTTGAAATGATTTTCCATTACCAAAAGCAATTTGTGGTATGCTATAAGGAGCAAATGCATATTCCTACATTGTCTCCTGATATCAGGAAAATGATTCGGGCCCACATGTGACTGATCACAGAAGAAGCAGGAAGCCAATCAGTATGACACAATGAAATCCAGCTTTTGGGAAATCCAGCTGTCCAGTATTTTCAGTCAGGGTTGACATTGGTGGGGTGGGTAGTATCACAGTGAAAATAAGTAAAGGTTGCATAGCTGTGAGACAGGCCATGTGGTCATTTTAGACAAGAGAGTCTAACTGGAATTTAAAAGCTCATTGCAAAATTGGGATGGGAAAGCTCTGGAATATAGCTAACGTGCCATTTGGGATGGAAACCGCACAAAGATCCAGGATTTCACACTCCTTCCACAACACTTGATCAGCAGACTTGATTATTCTTGGCCTTTGGGGTTTTTACTGAATTTGAAATCCAGCACAATACGGAAAACCAAAAAGGAAAAAAACCCAGTGAAGAAGCGATATACTAGTAATACTGATGATGATATCCTTTCAGCTGTGTCTGATTCTTGGCAATTCTATGTGCCACATCTCTGCGCATTTCCCGATCTTGCACTACTTCCTTGAGGTTTTTCTATGCTCTGGCTGGGGTCAGCTTTGATGGCGTTAGTAATATTAACAGTACAAATTCATGATAACCTGCTGTGTTTTGTTCCTGAACTAGAAAGCGAAATCAGCCTTTTCTGATTTTGATGGTAATTAAAAGAAGTCAATGATTTGAATACTTAGCTCTATTTGTCTTAGCTTAGTAACTTCTCATGAACTGTGAATTTAGAGACCTAGCTGTTTGCATTTATGTTTGATCCATCTGCCTGTACCCATGATTTCTGCAGATCAGGAAAAGAAGGCCCACCCCAGCATCCTTAGTAATTATGAATGATTCGTCTCCTGGTAAGTCCACGCTATGTCTTTCTAAGTGTTTGATGAGATTTTTTAAAAAAAAACATTATAGGGAAAGAACTAGAAATAGATGTAAAATGGTAGAATGATGTCTGGAAGGAAAAAAAAGAAACACCTACACACTTCCTTGTGATTATCCACCTTGTGGATATGAGAAGGAAACAATTTCTGCTCCTAACCCCACAGATGCTTTTTCACTAGCCAGGTTTATATAGTGATTAAGGTCAGAAGTGGTATTCAGCAGGTTCTGACGAGTTCTGGAGAACCAGTAGCGGAAATTTTGAGTAGTTTGGAGAACCTGTTAATACCACCTCTGACTGGCCCCGCTCCTATCTATTCTCTGTCTCCTGAGTCCCAGCTGATCAGGAAGAAATGGGGGATTTTGCAGTATCCTTACCCTGCCACTCCCACCAATCCATGCCCACCAAGCCACACCCACAGAACCTGTAGTAAACATTTTTGAATCCCACCACTGATTAAGGTGATAGACTAGGAGTAGAGAGACCCAGATTTTAGATCTACCTTAAGCAGGGAAGCCAGCTGGGTGATTTTGAGCCAATCGCTGCATCTCAACTGTATGGAGAAGTCCGTTACAAACTGCTTCTGAAATATTGTCAGGAAAACTGTGGGAACCCCCCCTGTGTAGTTTCGGGAATCAAGACTGATTTGAAGGTGCCAATTAAAAACCAAACCCCACTGATGTGTCAGACTGGGATTAAAAGTACCCATAAAATTAACCATGATCCTTAAGGGTTAGAAGGATTTACTTTTCATTATTTTGTTGAAATCATGAGTCCATTTCATTCTCTAAGAATGTTATAAAAATTATATTACAACCTTCATAATGTTTACATACATACACATACACACACAAACATACACACAAAAACACACACACACACACACACACACACACACCAATAAGTAAGAAAGGAGGAAAAGAAAGCGAGACCAAGTGTGTGTGTGTGTCTGTGTGTATAATAGTACAGTATAAAAGGATGCAACAAAAGCACAATATATTTTTTCAGAGGAAATTTTAATTTAGAAGGATTTACTTTTCATTTTGTTGAAATCATGAGTCCATTTCATTCTCTAAGAATGTTATAAAAATTATATTACAACCTTCATA